ATTCGCACTTGATTGACGTAGTTCAGGCACATGCTGCCGCACCATGCGGCGCACCATTCATGCGCGTGCAACCGTTTTTCCCGGTGCTAATTAATGTGCAGTAGCCGTCTCTAAAAAAACAGCATGTTCTTCGTGTTTAACCTAGCATTGGGGCCCTGACACAACTCAGCCCAAAATCGCCTCGCAAAGAAGCGTGTAGACTTCAATTTAGTACAGCCATTCAAACCAGCGTGTGTCACCCAGCTGACCAGCAGCTGCTGTCTGGACTGGAGGTTATCGCGGCGTCCGACACGAATCCAAGGCTGAGGATAACATTTTGTTGTCTTGATCAGCTGTCCCGAAATGGTGCATGATTTATACATTATGTTGTTGAGTCACATGGATCGAAAGTGATTAGTAATCTTGACCAGAAGATGATCAAATACATTCAAGATCAGCGTAGTGTTAGTTCGTGGACAATCTCAATGTCTTGGCACTATTGCTTTGTGTTGGTTCGCCACTGTGATGGGAGCAAGTGTGGACCTGTACCAGAGCATTTGGCTAAGAAACTAGCAATGGGTTAGGAAGCTCTATGACCCTTTTGGGGCTAAAAATAACAAGCCATCTATATCAGAGAGAAAGTAGAAAAGAGTTTAACGGGCAAAGGACCGGTGATGTGGAATTCCTTGACTTATCCGTTAATGGTGAAATGGTTTGACCAACACACTCTGACTCTGGAAAGGCTCGGGAATTTTAGTCAACGTCAATGACTTTGCGATGATTTTCTGTTACAACCATTGTCACCCAAGTATATAGATCAAAACCTAAGCCCTAAGAACTTCGGCTGCAAGCAATATAGCAAGCAAGGCTGCACTAGTGTGGTCTTCATGGGTGGTCCATTCTTCCTCAGTTCAGGCGCCAGCATCTTGCACCCAAAATCGGTTTTGGAAAAGGTAGGGCTCTGTTAAAGACATCCTCGCTTACAGGAGACCCATCGTCGGAACAGAGCGCCGTGCGGGGAGCATCAGATGCATGGCTTTTTCACGAGAACCGAGAAGATCCGGCAAACTCCTCCCAGCCGGATCCCAACATGACGTAACAACAAACATGGAATGTCTCCCTGGGAGACTTAGTATTCATTTGGGGGCTTCCCGTGGCACGGACGTGACGTTAACCTCAGGATGGCAGACTTATTCATTGAACGATCAGCTATCAGGACTCCAGTCAGGAACCAAGCGGCTGAAGAACTACAATGAAGCCAATGAACCGCTCTGCATGGGCCACGTCAATTAATGCACGTCAGTTGAAACCGCCACGAACATTGTTGGCGGTAATCATTTGTAATTCAAACGCGATTCAGCCTCAATACTTCTGTTAGAAATTATGTGTGTGCTGTGGCATGCAACAAACCAAGCATAAGCAAGTTTAGATCGGGAGGGTGGTAATGGCAGAAGTCGGGTTGCGCTTTCGGTTAATTTTTGGCGGTGCTTAACAGGTCTCAAGCGGAAAAAAACACCTTAACATACTATATTGGGACATCACAAAGTTGGAAATCGCGAACAGATTGATTGCAACCACAAACGGAGTCCAAAAATACACGAAAAACACACACTGGATAAGGCCGGCTCCATAAGGCCGGCTTGCAGTGCAGCTCTCTCTCTCTCTCTCTCTCTCTCTCTCTCTCTCTCTCTCTCTCTATCTCTCTCTCTCTCTCTCTCTCTCTCTCTCTCTCTCTCTCTCTCTCTCTCTCTCTCTCTCTCTCTCTCTCTCTCTCTCTCTCTCTCTCTCTCTCTCTCTCTTTCTCTCTCTCTCTCTCTCTCTCTCTCTCTCTCTCTCTCTCTCTCTCTCTCTCTTCTCTCTCTCTCTCTCTCTCTCTCTCTCTCTCTCTCTCTCTCTCTCTCTCTCTCTCTCTCTCTCTCTCTCTCTTTCTCTCCAGCGCCTGTCCTCTAGTCTCGCGTTAGCTAGCGCAACCCAGCCCGCATCTGCTGCAGTGACCCTGGCCGACAAACAACGCCAGATGTGGCCTGTCCTTGGGCCTGTCTGCTTTCCAGCGGACAGCGTCGCGTCTTAGGCATTGTGTCCATCAGTGCCCCGTCATCGGACGTTCCCCACGTGCCGCACCGGCTGCCGCAGGGACGGCCGGCCGGGCGGGTCTCCTCACGAGAACGGTGGCCATGGGGGTTGCATGTCATTTGACCAAGGTCAGATGGCAGCGAGGCTGGCGAGCGGTGCTGGACGGCAGGCAGGCAGCCGTGGTCTGCACCGCGCACCTGCCAGCCGGATGCCCCTGCCGTGTCAGGTCGTGTCGGGACTGATAAGCGAGGTCGGCTCTGGCACGCACGCCTCTATCACGCAACCTGCCACACGCCACACTGCGAGGAGACACAGCACGCCTCCGTTACGCAGCTGCCACACGCCACACTGCGAGGAGACACAGCACGCCTCTGTTACGCAGCTGCCACACGCCACACTGCGAGGAGACACAGGAGTGGCCGTGTTTTAGCACTGCGCACCGCTCGGCGCCGGCGGCAGACGCGTACAGGGCTAGATGCGCCGTAGCCCTGCGGGATAACGGCCCGAACTGAAATGCATGTCCCCACCAACACCATGATACGACAGTTCCAGCTGTAATACACGTGCCCAGCAACACCGGCACAGGTCTGATGTGAGCAGCCTGCTGTTTTTTTATTACATATCTAGGGCTGTGAAACGGCCGTCCTTCTCAGAAATAATTGCTGGGCATCAAAAATCATCTTGGAGTTGTGGGCCTTAAAATTGCATTATCTCATTACCCACTGTTTACCTAACAAAGAGCGAAAGCGAACATATGCGGTAGTTTGCTCTCAGGGAACTCCGGTTAGCCTTCGGACGCCTTGTGAGCATGACAGACGCGCGTAGAGGACAGATAGTTTTGTGCCAACATGGTGATAAGCACTTATAAAAACACATCAATTAATTTTCAGGCAGTCACCGCAGGAGCTCACATCTCCACTTACATCCGAATTTAGGAATCAGTGGTATTTGCAGCGGGGAGACAATTAATGATTTCTCCTCCCTCTGAGGGTCAGCGGGATCTCAATCGGACAATTGTCGAGTCCTGTGTCAACGAAATTCTTGGGAATAATGAAACATGCATCGACAATATGCATACTTTTCATGTTTTTCCGTACCTAATGAGAGCGGTGAACCAGCGCTCCAGTCTGCACCAGAGACCCTAACCGGCAGTCTGCACCAGTGGTCCTAACCCTGGGCGGAGCATAACAGCCACACCTCCAGTCTGTACCAGAGATCCTAACCTGCAGTCTGTACCAGAGATCCTAGCCCTGGGCGGAATATGACAGCCACACTTCCAGTCTGTGCCAGAGATCCTAACCTGCAGTATGTGCCAGAGATCCTAGCCCTGGGCGGAGTATGACAGCCACACTTCCAGTCTGTACCAGAGATCCTAACCCGCAGTCTGTACCAGAGATCCTAACCTGCAGTCTGCACCAGTGATCCTAGCCCTGGGCGGAGTATGACAGCCACACCTCCAGTCTGCACCAGTGATTCTAGCCTCCAGTCTGTGCCAGAGGTTCTAACCTCCAGTCTGTACCAGAGATCCTAATCCTGGGTGGCGTATGACAGCCACACCCTCACCAAAAAACCGGACACGACTGGCATGTACAAGGACTCTGCCCACCCGGCGAGCGTATCACCGCGCGCGTCTCAGGACCGGCACGGGCGGGGTCGGCAACGGACCAGAACCGGGCCGCCAGGCCGGCCGGAGCCGACCGTGGGCGGCGGCGGGGGGGGGGGGGGGGGGGGGGGGCACCCGGCGCCGTCCACGGCCCGACAGGTGCGTCACGTCGACGGCTGGGGCGGCGCGGCCACCGCAGAACCGCCGAACGACCGCAGACTAGCCGGCCGAGGAGGGACGGGACTGGGGCGTCCGAGACGCACGCTGACTCACTGGCGCCTCCGCTGCAGGGGAATCCTCTGACGCCAGCTAGCGCCACAGCCACTAACTCGACCTCTGCACATGTCTGCCACCACCACAGCTTTTTGCAAGTTGTTGCCGTCTGGTTTCGTGTTATGAACAAAGGTTTACTTCATAGGAAGTATTAGTTGAGGTGTGCAATCGACGGCATCATTCAAAAGAAAACGAAATTAGCGACGTATCTTTCAACGGTTCCGCTCTCGTTCGTGTGTGATCTGAGCTTCACGACGCACTCCGCTGCTGAGGCTACATGGCGTTGCATGCCTGTACATGGCGCCTGCCGCCGTGGCAGGAAGAGAGGCACCACTGGGAATCCAACTCCATGCACCTAGCTCTCAAGACGCGTAGCTTAACCACTTCACTATCGGTATCCTTCTCGCATTTGCGCATGCTTTTGTTCTCCTGCTTGGTAATGCGCTCACTTACATGCCCAACGGAACAGAACGACGTTATGCGTTGATATTTCAGAAACACCTATCGCTAGCCACCTGTGACCGACAGTCAATAAAGTATTTGACATCAAATGGGAGCAAGGTAAGGCCGTGTGTGCTACGCGTATCATCCTGCGGCTCGAAAACTCCCGGGCAACAGGATAGCAGCTTCTGAGTCGAGAGACGCCCTCCAACAATGTCTTAGTGACGAAAGACGTGCCGGCTCGCTCTCGATAAGCTCCTGAATTTCTATTCCGCTGCCGGCTTCGTGCCAGGTCATTTTTGTTTTTACTGGTGCCTGCTATAAATCGCCATGCTGACAAATTCTGAAGGGCGGTCTCTACCACGCAGCCAACTCGTTATCAACGTGAGTCAGACGCGGGCAGTGGGAACCAAACTGACGGCGTTTTGACCGTGAAACCAAGGAAAGAGGACAACATACTTTTGTTCTGGCTTCCTTGCTTCTCTCTCCCAATCTGACTACTCCTAATTTATATTATTTCACACAGTGACGACTTGTTTATCCGCCACACGAATCCCTCGCCATCTCCCTCTCCACCCCTCACCTTCCCCGTCTCCCCTCCGTGCCAGTCATACAGGACCGCCATACTCACCACCTCGCGCCGGAGCAAGGCCATCTTGAGCTCCAGCGGGCTGGGCGAGCGGGCCGGCTTCATCAGGACGTCGCCCAGCTCGGCCGTCTGGCTGTCTGTGCCGCTCTCCCGCCCGCTGTCGACGCTCGTCGGTCGCTCCTCGCGCTCGTCGGCGTCGACGGTCGTGTCCGTGGCCTCCGGCGCCGGCCAGTGAGCCACCAGCCGCGACTCATAGAATTGGCGGCACTGCTTGACGATCGACTGACGCCCCCTCTCGTCGTCCTCGGAGTTATCCGCTTCCTCCTCGTCGTCGTCGGTGTCCTGGTCGTGGTGATCTTCCCTTCCGCTGTTCGCTTCGGTGTCCTCCTCCCGGCCGACTAGACGAGAGTGAATAAAGAAGCTGTCGCCATCGATCTCGACGATGCTGCTGAACTCTCCGACAGCGTCAGGCGACACAGGAGGCTCAGGTGGCGCATGCACCGGCGGCGAAGCGTCCTCCGCAAGCACCTCGTCCGCGATTTCACACGCCGTGTCGTACCGGCAGATTATTTGAATACCGTCGCCGCCGGCCGAGACGGCGCTGACTAGAGAACCCCCGTCCGGCTGCGCCGCGTCACTCGCCCATGGGTCCTTCGCGCCCTCCCCGGTGTTCGTCACCTCGCCGTCGTGGCGGCAGTGTCCCGTCTCGTCCCAGCACTGTAGGTCGGGGGTCGGCCCCACGGCGATCACCAGCGTCTCTTGCACGCGGAATATACCGCTGGAGCGGCGCTCGCCGCTCGCCCGGCGGTCCTGCATGGCCCCACCGCTCACGCCAGCCGAGGCCGCATGCTCCGCCCGCCGACGCCCAGGTCCGACTCGCTCGACGCTCGCGCCGCGACTGGTCGGACAGCCGGAGACGGCGACGCTGGTGCGGCGCTAGCACCGGAGACTGCGACGGCTAGCAGGGGGCAGCACCGCGGAGTGCGGCGTGCGCTGCCGAGGACGCCCCCGGGACCGGTTCGTCCGTCAGCGAATGCTGACGTGCGAGGTGCGCACGCGACGGGAGTGAGTCATCCCAGAAGTATTCTGCCAGGGAAATGTTGCAACCCGTCCCGCAAGTGATTTAAATGAGGGAAGAATCGATGCTTCAGATGTGTTGTATCTGGGTCTGACGGGGTTTTTGAAAATGCATTATGTCGGCCAAGGCTACCAACAGTGGAGAGGAGAAACTTGTATTTTGAATTGAGCGAAAATGAGAAATTTCAGCGGGCCCCGGTCGAACGTAGCACAACAGCGCTCGAGCGACGGGTGTTGTCACGGAGACATGCTCACTACTACCAACATGTTGTCTCCGGCCATTTCCCATTTAAAGCCCAACCAATTTGGTGTGAGTAGATGACATCAAAAATTGCATTCAAATTTTCATGTCTCAGGCGAGGAAAGAGTCTGACAATAGTTTTATGAATAATGCATTACTACTTCCATTGGCCCAGCTCCAATAGCCAGCTGCCAAATAGCCAACATAAGCCAGCTAAAATCAATTACACAGATAAATTAGCTAGAGGTAAAAAAGCTGTGACATATTGATATTTCGGCTACAAACCATTGCTGAAACAGCCCAATAGCTGGGTGAGCAGTAAATTACAAGCTAACTGCGGTTTCTACTGGACTTTAACTCTGTTGGACACAGCGAAACACAATTTCAGCAGGCCTCTAGCGCTACGAAAATTGTACCGGCAGTAATTGCCAGTCATCATGACACATGATGGCTCCACAATTCAGTGCATCTGGCTAATAAGAAAATACGAAAAATACACGTGCATGCAAACACAAGTTCAAGTTAACATATTTTCATGCGCCAAGGCACTAATAATTACGCTCGCATAACCGCTCATGATTAGCCATGTGCGTTTATGTCTGGCTCTCACAAGAAGTCGGCGAACAGGGTAGTTCTGGCCATGTGTCATGCGTTAGGGAAGTTATAGGGTACTCTACTCCAGTAGTGTAAGGATGTTTTGGTCATGGCTTTGCTGAACTTAGGCGCCATTTATGGCGCTTGCACAAGGCTGCATAAGATGCATTGAAAAATACGTGCGATTTACATTTAATTAGTTATTTTCTCAACTTAAAACCCTTATCTCAGCGTTTCTATGTAGACTGTGTTTTGTGCATCATTATTTGAGCCCTTGCTTTGCACGTCTTCCCACTTGAAATAGGGTCATGATGTAACCTAGTGAGGTGCCCGCGTTTGATGTCGTAGCGTGGCGTAGCATGTGGCGTTCAAGACAGCCCGCCGGCCCGTAACGCGAAGCATGCCACGTGCTTCAATTATTTGATATGACGATAGCATGCTTTTCCAACGTTTCCAAAACCAGATGAAAACGTCTCGAAACCGGTCTAAGGAACCAAGGCCTAAGAAACTCTGGGTGACAACTGCACCAAAACAACAGTTTTATTGAAGACAGACCGCCAAGCTGGTGAATGACCGACCGTACGTGACCGACCGCTAGGCTGACCACATGTGAATGCGTGTAGGTGTCCCTGTTTGTGCGTAGTGCGCTAGAGCACAGTTGCGGAGCCATCGATTTTCTACCTTTGTGCCGCGCGAGTGATTCGTGTCGAATCTCGGTACACATCAGATCGCTACTGAAATCAACTGTCTGCGAAAGGAGCCTGAATTGGCTATCGATCATCTGACACGTTTGCTGCTGCCCCCTCCATCAGAACACCGGTCATAGACCGTGAAGATATTCCAAGAACTTTTCATCTCGAATGCACGCCTCTGAGCATGGCGGCGACGTTGACAGAGGGGCCATCTATGATTGTGCAGTCACACCATCGCACACCTGTGCCCCGTAAGTGTCCGTGCTAACATGGCTCGCTCCCAACAATCAAATATACTGAACAGATATGCAACCAGCTACGATGCATGTTCAGCATTCCACTGGTGGTCTGCAAACGGGCAGTATACTGTATTTCGCTGCTAACAATATGTCAAACATTTTGCATTTCAACTAGACACAAAACAGCACGCAGTTGGTACAAACCCTGCACTCGTTTTAAGGTACGGATGAAAAAAACGTCCCCGGAAGATCAGACAGTAGAAAAGTTAAAAGCTGACAGTGTTCCCGGCTTGATGATCCAAATACTCCAAAGTTATGACAACACTGAATGTGTAACCAGACATCGTGAAAATAGTCGCTCAGTTCACACAAAAAAACACGGCACACACAGTGCAAAATCGCCACGGCATTTCGTGTTTTGATAATGTACAGTCATAGATGCATTACATACAAAAGTAAAAACATCCCATAAGCCCTCACGTCCTTCCATCAACATGTCAGTAGCAGACTGTTATACTCTGCACACCATCCCCCACCGGCAGTGATATTGAGCCTTACGAAGTCAAGGTGCTCAGCCGGATCACACCCTGACCTTACCAAGGTCATGGCGAGCGACTGTATCACACGATGACCTCCACAAGGTGATACCATTGGCCGGATCAAATCGCGCCCCTGTCGAGGTGATGCAGACCGGCCAGGTCGCATTGTGACCTTCATAAAAGGTCATGGTGGTCAGTTATATTGCACCATTACTTCATGAAGACCGTAAAAATCGCTGGAACCAACCAAGCCCGTGCGGGCACCAGCTCAGACGCACACTACGGCCATCATCCCAGCAAAATAATGTCCTGACTTAACAGCAAGTGTCATATCATGGCGCCCCGCCACACAAAGGGCCCGTCCAGGCGAGATATAATCTGGGATAACTATCCACCACGCTGAAATGCACCCATAATAGGTATTGCCCCAGAAACAAGTTGTCATGGACCACCCTGTATGATGAGCAAAAATCTTGAAATCCATTAAAATCGTAGACGTAGCGGATAATGTGCGAAGGCAGACAAATGCTTCAGTAGGGCAGTGGGTATCGGAACAACAGTGACGCCCGCCCCTCAAGGCGGAAGTCCTCACGAACTAGCACAACCAATGCGTTGTAGTGAGAATGTCAGCTGTTATTTCTCCTGCAATATGCCTGAGAGAAACGTGAAGCAAGGAGTCGGTTGCGGCAAACTGAGCGATGGTGGCTGACAATTTCCGAGCCTGCGCCTAGAACCATGAATAATTTTTGGATGGAGTGGAGGAGTCAGGAGCACAACTTCCCGAGACTATTCTCGTCTGGATGACGCTGAAGGCACCATTGGTGTAACGTTCCGTTAGATAGCGACGATTACATGTGTCTCAGGGGTGCGAAAAGGCAGTCTGCACAAAGTGACACTCCGCACCGTGCCAGCACACGCCCGAGGTGGTAGCCCGGCCGTACAAATGTTGTCACAACGGACGACAGCCTAAGCCTGACACCAGCCTGACATTCCAGCAGTCTGTATATGGACCATCGTTACACTGGTAACCCCATCCTCCAGACCAGCACTCAGATCAGTGCCGCCAAGCGCTGTCGGAGCAACAGGCCGCACCCGATGTTCCCATGGTGATGACTGAACTGTGCGTAATTATGTGACCGTACATGATCCCAAAAGAGACATCAGATGCCACCTGACCTCCACGTGCCAGTTTCAGCTTCGACGGCGTCACGGCGCCCGTGAGACCGGACGCTGCGGTGACGCCAGCATCTCTGCGTGCCTCCGCGCGTGCCTCGGGCGCCGCCGCGCCGCTCACATCGAGGTGATGGTCTTGCGGATGATGTCGGCGCACTCGAGGATCTGGTCGTCGGTGATGACGAGAGGAGGGGCGAAGCGCACGATGTCGCCGTGGGTGGGCTTGGCCAGCAGGCCGTTCTGGGCCAGCTGCACGCATACGTCCCAGGCGTCCAGCTCTGAAGCGAACATCGGTCAAGATCACCTGCCGCCGGCTCCACAGACCGACCAGTCAAGGTCACCTGCCGCCGGCTCCACAGACCGACCAGTCAAGGTTACCTGCCGCCGGCTCCACAGACTGACCAGTCAAGGTCACCTGCCGCCGGCTCCACAGACTGACCAGTCAAGGTCACCTGCCGCCGGCTCCACAGACCGACCAGTCAAGGTCACCTGCCGCCAGCTCCACAGACCGACCAGTCAAGGTCACCTGCCGCCGGCTCCACAGACCGACCAGTCAAGGTCACCTGCCGCCGGCTCCACAGACCGACCAGTCAAGGTCACCTGCCGCCGGCTCCACAGACCGACCAGTCAAGGTCACCTGCCGCCGGCTCCACAGACCGACGCCAACGCCACGCACACGCCGAAGCCACGTGGATGGTTACGCAGGGCGAGCAGGAGACAAACAGCGGCATGCCGGAGGACAGCAGGAATAGGTCGGTCTCATCCCGCAACACTAACAAACCAAATGAAACTGAAAACGTCTTTTTACCGGCAGACTCCCATACACATCCAAGTTGTTGTGCAGCGACGCACACTGTCCGTGTGAGCGATATGGCAACTTCTAGGGGCTTTGAAAATGACGGCGAAATCTTTCCTTCCCATTCTCTATGACGAAGCGTACTGTGCATACATGCGGCTCAACATTGAACGGAAGAAACACCCACCCACTAACGCATCACAAGCAGTGAGCGGATACCCTTCTTCCCAAGCTCCCAGCTGCGTGGCGCCCCGACCGCCACACTCACTGTCATTGATGACGATGGCGTTGAGAAGACCCTTGCCGCGCACCACGGGCACCAGGTGCTCGGGCAGCTGGCGCAGCTGCTCGCGCAGCAGCTGGCCGAGCCGCTCGGCCCGCTCGGCCAGCCGCTCCTCCTCCATGACCCGGAGCGCCGCCAGCGCCACCCGGCACGCCAGCGGGTTACCGCCAAACGTCGAGCCGTGCTCGCCCGGCTTCAGACACAGCATGACGTCATCGTCCGCCAGACAGGCCGACACCTGGCGGACACCGAAACATCACGCCATGGCCCGACAGACAGGCCGACACCGAGACATCACGCCATGGCCCGACAGACAGACACGTTCGACGACGTGTGACGCCGTGGTCCGCAAGGCAGGCGGACGGCGTGCTACGCCACAACCCGCCACACACACCAACATATAAGGAGCGGCGACACATGACGTCACCGTGTGCCAGTCGACAGACGGGTCCACCAAACGGGAATGTACCAGTCGCTGCCATCAAACACACCACCAACTGACATACAGGGCGATGTGGTGTCCGATGTAGCGATCTGATGTGGTACCAGGACGAGTTCTTCCGTACTATCCTCGAGTGCTCTTACCCCTGAGTCCTCCCGCATCCTCCCGCCCCGTAAGCCCCTCTCCCAAACATCGGGTCCTGCTGTCCCATTTTCGAGTCCACCCGCTCCTTGACACCCCTCCGGATGTCACCCTATCGCTCCTGGTCCGTACCGGGAGGACGCCGCCAGACAGCGCTTTGCCGAGGATCAGGATGTCGGGCCGCACGTCCTCGTGGTCACAGGCCAGCCGACGCCCGGTGCGCGCCAGGCCCGTCTGCACCTCGTCGGCTATGAAGAGCACGTTGTGGCGCGTGCAGATGTCCCGCACGCCGCGCAGGTAGCCCTCGTCCGGCACCATGACGCCCGCCTCTCCCTGGATCGGCTCCACCATGAAGGCGGCCACGTGCGGATCGCGACACAGCTCCTGCGGCGAGCCGATCAGGCCAGGTCGGGTCCGGTCAGAGCGAGGTCACACTCGGTTAGACGGGTCGGCTTGGGGTCAGTGCCCCTCGTGAACACCATCTGCAGGCTTGCCGAGGGAGCTGGTGGGTGCCTGTGGCAGGTCAGTGATGGTAACCCAGACAGACACTGGTCCAGGTACCATCACTTATCACATCATATCTGGTTACCATCACATCAGATCACAGGTTGCTCTGCAGTTTGCAACCCAGTGTTTGACACATCCAGACTGCTCCAAGAGTGCAGTGATGCAGCGAGGGCCGCTTGACCCTCTGACTACGAGAATGGGTGCTGGTCGGGTATCCATACAACGAGCCGGCCAAGCATCATGCCACTGCGAGAGGTAACGTCCGCGAACACCCAGCTACGAAATGGCCCCGCAAAGCCTTGATTCTAGAAACATGGTCACGTCGGTTACCCCGCTGTGCTTCCAAAATTAGTCAGTACGCACCTCCAAGGCCTCTAAGTCGTTATAGGGTATGATCTCGTAGCCCGGCATGAACGGACCGAAATGTTCGTAAGCGGACGGGTCCGTCGATGAGGACACGGCGCTCAGGGTCCGCCCCCAGAAATTGTTCTCGCAGAAGACAATTTTGGCCTTGTTTTTCGGAATCTTCTTCCGAAGGTAGCCCCACTTCCGCGCCAGCTTGTTGGCCGTTTCGCCGCCTTCGACGCCTGTATGGCGACAAGGCCGACGGCGTTCCATTAGGAAGACATGCCATCATATTCTTATTTCCGCTGGACGTACAGAGACGCGTGGATTGCTCACCACAAAGCAGCTCTGTGGTCAGCTGACTGTCGATGCAAGGCCATCTGATGAATCGGTGTGTTGTGGACTTGGTCATTTGCATCCAAATCACTAATTGGTGTTGCGTGCAAGCCGTAATTTCTATGACAAATTAAGCTGAGAGCTGTTTTGAGTCATTCAAACAGCACAATATCTAGCCAAGACGCCTGGCCTGGGAAAAGCAGACATCAGAGCAGCACAATACCTAGCCAAAAAGGCCCAGCCCGGACAAGTGGACATCAAGTTGCGAACAGCTCAACCCAGCTATAACTCCAATGACATGCAGCATTACCCAACACAGAACTGAACACATTCTTGACAGCTAGCAGGCACACAGACAGGGACATGGACAGTACAGCCCCTGCAGGCATCACAGGCCCCTGCTTGGCCGACCGCCACTCACCAGTGTTCATGGGCAGCAGCTTGTCGTAGCCAAAGAGTTCGGTGGCGTACTGCTCGTACTGGCCCAGTACGTTGTTATGGAAGGCGCGTGAGGTGAGGGTGAGCTGCGAGGCCTGCTCGCTCAGCGCCGCCACGATCCGTGGGTGACAGTGGCCCTGGTTCACCGCCGAGTACGCCGACAGGAAATCGTAGTAGCGACGGCCCTCGACGTCCCACATGAACACACCTGCCAACATTGAAGGCTGCTTCACACACTGCTGCCCCCTCCCCACAAAAAACAGGGTAGCACATGGTTGAACTGGACATGATGAACAGCAATGCCAGAAGATTTGGTGTCACATATACTGCAGCAGGTAATATGATTGTGAGCAGCATGTGTGCAGCTATGCAGAATAACACCAAACTCCAGGGAAGGCACAGATAAATGTTATGATGATTTTGGAAATCATACAGCTATTTTACAATACAGAACTTAAATTTCATGACATTTCTTCATGGAGCATTGACATGCTGTGTACCTCAACCAAATAAGAGCCTGAGCAATAGGTATCCTATACTCCACACTTCATATCATAGAATGCAAGTTAATTTGCCTTTTAAGTGCTTTTCAGTGACCAATTTACTTGCAGATCTCAAATACGATTAAAAGAGAGTTTACTAACCTTTAGCCTTTTCAATAGCCACAGGGAGTGGGTGGTAGTTATGTGCACCATACTTGAGCTCCTGCTCAATTATGTCTGCTGTGGTTGAATATGAGACAGCTGGCAGGGAGCTCAGACTCTTCACAGCTGATTGAACAAATGAGGAATATAGCGCAGATGCCACATGGCCTGCATATTGCTGAACCTGAAATAAAAACTGGTAAGCATATGCCTCAGATTGTGAACAGACATCAGCAATATACAAAATACCTTCCACCCTACCTGTTGGGATTCCTGGTTTCATATGGTTACCAAAAGCTGAATACTTACAGAATATGGAAGGAAGCCTATGCACCCAAGACACACTGGTCAAAGGATCCAAGACACACTGGTCAATGGACCCCACAATGGTATGATCTGTGTAACTGCAGATGTAAATCTGGATAATCTGTGGAGCAGGCAAACAATCAGTACCCAAAACATGCATTGAAAATTACCAGAAAATGACAGAGAACACTAAGTCAACACTCAAAGGTTATAAGCAAACAACAACTTCCTGCCTAATCCTCTCCAATCATCTTGAGGGAACTTGGGCAATTCCTGCTAGTCAGACAAATCCCCTGAAAATCATCAAAAGGTTGTTTGACACTATACATGCCTGATACATCTTGAGAGAATGGAAACAAGCAAATTATACTTTTCACATTAATGCCTAGACTACTATAGCTGCTTCATAGTCAGGCAATCTAACTTTTCAATGTCCTCACAAATTCTTCGGGTAACATGCATGCTCTCACAAAAAGGTATACCGAATGAGGGGGCTTTCTTTAAGTAGCTGGGACAACCCGTCTTATGAACACAAACTGTCAACATTCTCCTCGTGGGTCTCACAAAAATGGTCAAGTGGGCTATTTGCCACCTGGCCTGCGAAATGCACGGCTGCAAACCTGCTAAAGAAACTAACACAACGCAGATAGAATTCACAGCACCGGTGGCCCTAGCCCATGGATCCTGTGCTCACCGACGTCTGTGCGGTGTTGCCACCCGGCCTAGCGATTGCTGAGCACGGACTGAACACGGACTCTCGAAAACTCGCCTACCGTGCGTATTGCGGCGATGCATGTTGCGCTCAGATTACTGCTGCTTGTCCAACATTACGTCATTCCATTTGGTGGCATTAACTAGAGATTGTCGTAACAGGCGCCACCATGAATGTTTTCCTTCTGCGACGAAAAGGCGAAACGACATTGGTGTTTCAGGACGAGCAGATCGATAGTCCATAGGTGTTCCCATATTTACATATATACCTTACTCGCGTCTCTTTACTTGTAAAGGTTGCTCTCGCTCCCGTGAGAGTTCGGCATGTCCTTGGTTCGCCTTATACGCGGTGTCAAGGGCAGTAAAGTTTCGCTGGAAGGT